ATATAATTGTAAGTCAATGGCAGGAACAGATTGTTTATTTTTATTCCTCATATTAACGTTATGTCATGGTTATGTCTATTAGATTTTCATAAATGATATGATTTTATAAATAAAATTTTAACTGCCTCTGTGGCCGAACTGTTACCATCCTGATCTGCCACGCAGAGGTCCCGCGTTCGATTCCCGGGTCAGGAGAAATATTTGTATGGCCTACAATTATTCATCTCGTGAGTTTGGGTGTAATTTGTGATTGTATATGTGTATGTGTCCATGGCACTCGCGATACAGGGTTTCCCTAGTGCGGGGCTATGAATGTGTGCGTTATTTATTATTTAATATAAATGTATTGTGACCCTAGTGTAAAAAAAAAGGTTTAGGCTAGTGTAAATAAACAAATAAATAATAACGCACACACTCGTAACCCCGCAATAGGGAAATCCTGTATCGCAGATGCCATGGATACACACATAGACTACCATAAATGAAACCCAAACCCACGAGAGAAGTATACGTAGGCCGTACTAATATTTCTCCCAGTTTCGAATTCGGGACCTCTGCACGGTAGTCAAGCGATTTCTTTACATTTCTCTCTCAAAGACACTCTGAGGCCCATATTGTAAGTTACTCTAGACGTACGTTTTTGCAGGGCAAAGATTCTATTAATAACAACCGCATTGCCTATATTCAAGCAAAATACCGTACGTCATTAAACTTCCGAAACTATGTGTCTAATTTAACGGGATGCTGACAAACCACGACCCACTATATTAGTTTCCAGACCATATTTACCGAAGCTTAGTACTTTTGATCAGAGAATATACAAAATAGGATCAAACTTCTCTTGTATCGATGTTAAATCGAATATAATATTTAAGTTACTTTTAGGAATTCGCGAAAATAGACCTTATATGTGTTTAAAAATCATGTTTAAGTAAATATTCTTGTCGAGTTCTTAGGTTTTCGCGATTGTTATACATAGGAATGAAACTATTTTTCCGGATTTAAATCGCGTATATTCGTTTTTTCAAACAAGTCTGCAGTCTGCGAGCATGTCATGGATAAACCTACACATTCAATGAAGTTTGACAAACCCCAGGTCCTTGCAAAAGAAGTCCGTTATCTGCCCAGGATGCTGCGAGAGGCCATTGAAATTAAAAAACATCCTAATTTCAACAGGGAAGATGGTTTCTCCGTACCACCAGTTTGGGATCCAGTATTTCCTCTAATGAAAAATCCCAAACAGACATAAGACTGCAGTACTAATTAATATGTTTTAATTTATTCTAATTTCTATTAATAATTAATAATAAATTTAACTTAATAAAAAAATTCATTCAATAAAATAATTTGTAAAACTTAATGTACCTAGCGTAAATTGGAATGTTTTCTTTGTAAAATTAAAAATAAGGTATTTAATTAATAACTGTTGTAACTATAGTGAAAAAATAGGGTGGTTTGCATCAATATTAGACATAACTGGTTGAAGACTGTACCACCTCAGTCAACCGTGACCATGGGACCTGTAAAGGGCCCGAAACGTCGGTTTGTTTGAAAAAACAAATATACGCGATTTAAATCCGGAAAAATAGTTTCATTCCTATAAATATTCTTGTGTATGTTGATCCGTAACCTCACCAAAAGGTCGTAACTGCTGCCACCATTTGGATGGCTCTGCTACATACCAACTGGCCACCTTGGATTCAATTGACAAGTGTGGCAAGAGGCTTACAGGTGACTCAGAATTAGTAGAAGCGAAGCTGCAGAGCCTTGAACTTATCAGTATTTTACAAATATCACGGAGGCAATGGAATTACAAGATTTAATTCCGCCTTCCCCTTTCCATCACCGGGGGACTAGGCGTAGGCTTGGATTCCATCCCTATGTTGTGGATATTCCAAAGATTCGCACGAAGCGTTACGCTTCCACATTTATATGGCGAAAGGCTATGGAATGGAATTCCCTGCCTGCAGACTTATTGTATTGTACAGTGGAGACAACTTACTTAACAAAAAAAAAACCAGAAGAAAAGACGCCACTGGGTGTTATCATTCAACAAGAGCAGGTCGAGATAAGTTCTTTGTCGTGGATTGTAAAAACAAATTTGCTTTTGAAAATGATTAAACGTTTTTAACTTTGCGCTTTATTTTCTCCACACCGTATCGCGTTTAAAACATTTTGGCCAAACTTAACGCAGACTATATCGTGAGTTGTTTTAAAGGCGAATTTGTCGACACCTGGTATCCGGCTTACGGGAGAAACACGTGAACGCTCTTAACCCGAAGCTTGTCTTGGTTAATGACAGGTGTTGTACTTTGCTGCGGTTTCAGTAAAACCTATGAGATATTTATTTATTGCAAATCATACAGGGTGTTACAAAATTTTGAATATGCGAGTTGACAAAGTCAAAGTCAAAGTCAAAGATTATTTATTCCATAGGTAAAATAAATTTACACTTGAAAACAACACATTTAAGCTACAGCTCGTTCACTACGCTGACCTCCCTGAGAAGAACGAGCAAGAAACTCTAGGGATTGCTCTTTTCAAATAAACTTAAATACTATGGAATACACTTTGAATCAAATTTGTGTGGATTCTGGAGCCATGTCGTTTTTCCATACATCTTTATCTAACACGCCCTCTGTGACCCAACGATTTGCACTATGTGCACTGAATGAAGAGATCGCCGTACTCATAGGAAATTCCCTAGTTTGAGACCAGGTAATTGAGACAGTGAACATCTTTACAGTACCGGCACGTTGTGATGGCTTTTTTGACAGATTGGTGGTCACAATGGTGAGGTCAAATCTCAACTCATTATAAAAAAAAATATAATCAAATGCTAATCTCATATATAAGTTTTTAGATTTATAATTGATATTGCAAGAGGTAGCTGATTAAACAGTTTCAATAAAACGCAAATAATATATCGTCAATTTGAAACTGCTTTGTTGTGCATTGAGCTTTGACGCGAGTTTGCCGGAGAAGTTGTGCTGGCCAGCGATCCCATAAGCGACGGTCGCATTAGATTTCATTATTAAAAATGTCGAATTTCGAAAAACAAATGCCGTCCATAAACAAATGCAATCCATAAATTTTAGTGCACGTCGCTATTGACAATAATGTACATCAATTACTTAGTCCCTTCAACGTATTTATGAATTAATACGAAACTTGATGAGCAGACAAACGTCACAACGGCCATCATAGCATGCCGGTATTTTAGCTTAGGATTATTTTTTATTCAAAACATATTTTTAAATGTACTTCATCTGGAAACTTTCGCCAAAGACTTCACACCTTGCTCATACCGTATTGTACCAAGAAGTAATCGAAACTGTGCCCTTGGAGAGGGTTTACACAATGTGATCGAGACTGCGCAGTGTGAAGCAAAAGGGTGCCTTTACCCTTGCGATTATGTGGCAGTATGTGATCGGAACTGAAACCTTGGGTAGGCTTTATACAGCGCATGATTGGGGCTACCAGCAGCGTATTGAGCACGAGTGTTAGCCGAAGGTGACTGCGAAGTCAAGTAATTAGCCCTATAATGTCCTGCCTAATCATTTATATTATGTGTTGGCTTGGGTGCCTTTGAGATGCTTAGGCGACACTTGGTCATAGCGTGGCGTCGCTTCTAAGCGGGCGTCAAACGGTTGTCATTATGTTGATGTAGGCACGGAAAACTAGCTTGCGAAAAAGGTACGTCGTAAAAACAAAGCGTGGGCCGGCAATAGCAAATTGCTACTACCTGCACAGCGAGATGGCGATCCTTTTCGTGTGAATTGCAGCGTTAGGGGTGCTACAACACCTATTTTCGTGTGTAATCGTTAGGATGACAATACCATACTCAAGTCCTGTCAAAGATTCTTGATTGGGCTTCGTATGGAGGAATTGTAGGTCCTTTAAAAGTGTAACGACGTTGAAAATAGTTTATTATGCCCTAGTTCATACTAATTTAGAATATGCATTTCCCATTTGGAACCCAATGTACCAAAATCACATAGATCGCATAGAAAGCGTTCAAAAGCGATTTCTCTTTTTCCTGACAGTCCACCAACGAAGGCTGCACTTAATGAAGGGATATGAGGACAGACTAAGTTCATTTCAAATGTGCAGCCTTCAACGTCGCCGTTGGATTGCCGATCAAGTTTTTGTACATCGTTTGATTTCGGGGCAAATTGATTGAACCCAGAACTTTTATCACAACTCCAGTTTTCTATTCCACGTCACAACGCCAGACCAAGTAACTATCGTCTTTTTAAAATCAAAAAGTTCAGAACTAACGTTGGCTACAATGCTATTTTGAACCGAGTTTGCCGAGAGTACAATAATTCTCATAAAACATGTAAACATAGATTAACTGACTTAGATTTGTTTTCGTTGTCATTAAATAAATATAAAACTTTATTGTATAAATGGTCAGACTAAAAGTACCATAACTTTACAGTTTAATTTAGCATGTTTACTTATTGGTTTTGTTTTATCCATCAATTTGTCTGTAATGTAACATACAAAAAATGCTTTTGACACGAGCTTCTGATATGTGCATGCTGTATTTGCCTATTATTGGGCTTACACTCGAGTATTTTATGTAATGTTATTGTTTGTTCATGTACAATAGTGTATTTCTGTTGGCAAATCTAATAAATAAATAAATAAATAAATAATAAATAAAAGATTTTCAGGTGTTTAAAAGTAACACTAGAACATTGTTTCAATCAACCTTTGTATCCATGCGTAATGTTTTTTACACTTCGACTTGCATCGTAACAGGTATGTGAACACTGTTATTAAAAATTATCAACTTAAATAATGTTTAAAAGTCGCAAAGAAAACTAATTTTAGCGGTAATGTTGTACGGAAATATAATAAATCACTTATAAAGAAAACTACCTACTTTATTAAAATAACACAAATTTTCTTCTCGCCAATTGATTGCAAAGTAAGGGGAACGTCCAGTCTGTGGTGCACACTTAAAACTTATTTTTAGATAATTCTAAAACTCACCTGGAATTCGATCTTTTCGACGAGTCGTGTTTCTTCCCTCCTTGCAAATTCGGCAGATCTTTCTGCCGTTTTTTAGTCTCTCTCCATATTCTGTAGTACAATATACACATTACCGTCACTGGCACATAGAACGCCGCGATCGCAGTTCCGAAAGTAATGAACTGGTTCGTCTCTATAAACTGAATATAACATTCGTGAGGCGGCACTTTTCGTTCACCGTCTATGTACGGCCACGCGTAAATCCAAGGAGGCCACAACACAAGACTGAAACCCCACGCACCGCCTATCATAAACGTAGCACGCCTTGTGGTCCTCTTCGCTCTATACGTCAATGGCCGTGTCACACTAAAATACCTGTCGAAACTAATTATCAAAAGGTTTAACACTGACGCGTTGGACGCTAAATAGTCTAGCGCCAACCATGTGTCACAAACGTACGGGCCTAGCGGCCAGTACCCGTATATAGTGAACATGGTGTACAAAGGCATCGAAATCAGGCCCACAGCGAAGTCAGCCACAGCGAGCGAGAACAGGAAATAGTTGCTGATAGTTTGTAGTTGCTTGTCAATCTTGAAGCTGATCATGACAAGGGAGTTGCCGACGACGGTGAGGAAGGAGAGGACACTGGCGATGAAGGCAATGACGACCTTTTGGGCGAGGCTATAGGGGCTGGGCGGCAGGGTGGGCTCAAACGCCAGGTCGGTGAAGTTGGTGTGGTTGGACGCGATGTGCATGCTGTCAACTCGGCAGGCACCGGGCGCCTCCCCGCCACCGGCGCCAAAGCAGCGCCGACCCGCCTGAAACAATTTAAAATTTTGCGTTAATAATTAACCTTACCGAGTTCGTTATGCTGATTTTGTAGTAATGCTTTATAAGACAGGTCGCAATAATGTATTCTTGGCTCCATACATCGCGGAAATGGCCACTCATCACCATCAATCCATATGCTATTCACAGGTGTGGATCTAGGAAGGAAGGTGACAATCCGACTCAGGCCAGAATATGGGTCGACTACGTAACTCGCTGTCTTTATACAAGAATGCAGTATTACAGAATAGACGCTCGTGTAACCAGAATTCACGCCCAAGCACTATTTAAGTATATAAAATATAGAAGAAGTAAATGGGTGTTTTATTCACTATAAAGTTTCGCATTCTCTGCTCGTCACTGTGTGCATAAAAACGTAGTAGAGTTTTATGAATCTTTTCCAAAATCACGATATACTTTTACATATTCAGAACGGAATCCAGCTAAAAATATTATAGTTCTCTCACAGATGGCGCTACAGCATAAAGTCATTAAAAACCAAAAACAAAGGACTGCAGCAAGCACATAGAGAAATTCGTTAGATCTGCTGACTCGTTCCGTCGCTCAGTTAGGAGAGCGTTAGTCCGCGTTAGGTTAAAATGTCGCTCTGGTTCAGGTGTAGCCGGATCGAAAGAATTTATCTCTGAGTTTGTTCGATCTTACTAATTATCATTATTATTATGTGTGCGTTATTTTGTACATTATTGTTAGCATTGGCATAACTCGGTGCTGAAATACGTTGGTTCGAATCCAGCCAGATCGAAGGAATTTTCTTAGTCTTCCATTTTTGTATTAATAATTAAAAATATTTAAATTGATCGCTCTAAACGATGATAACTCTGTGGGGTAACAAAAAAACCAGTAGCGAGTCCTATGCAAAACGGCGTTGGGGATCGTCAGAGAGGACGTTTGCATATTTGAACTTAGTCCCAAAAACAAATGTAAAAAATTTCATATAGTACACACACATAGTAGTAACTTAAAAGATTATTATTTTTTTATTTACTATATTTTGTACAACAAAATTGTGTAACAAATGTTATTGTTTATGATGTTAGCATTATTATTACAGTCCTGCAGGATTGTCAATATTTTACATCTCTGTATAAATAGATCCAACAATGTCATGATGTCATTTTTTTGTCACATTTATACATACATAGGAATAACCTGTCTATCAAAATATTTAGCCGAAAAATTCGAGAAAAAGTGTCAACGACACTGCCTCAGCTTTTAACGCCGACATGGCACTGTCAAAGGCTCACTCCTCCTGGCCGGAAACCACTTCCGACACGCGAAGCTGGGGGCGAGATGAAAAATGTCGAAATTCTTTACGTGACTAGTGTTATAAATAACATAGAAAGTTTTCAAGCAAGATTTCCTTTTAAAAAAATTGTTTGAGTTTTAAACTTATGCACGAGCGTTTTATTGTGTTGTCACCGGCAACTTTTCCGTAGGTTTATCCAGTAACATTACCATGCAGACGTTTTGCTTCTGTTTTATTTTTTGTAGTTGTAGTTTAAAATATTAAAGTGAAACGGTCAATCTTGGACCAAAGTCCACTACTTAATTTCCCTGGCAATTTTTACTATTTAAACATTCAAGTATATTATCCTGTAATTATTAACTAATGAAATGAGAGAAAAACGCCTTGAATTGGAGAATAGCAAAATCAACCATTAAAATAATTGCTCCTTATAATAAAATTTAGGCGCTGTTTATAAAAATGAATCTTCATGCGTGAACCCCTAGAGGTGGATGTTTTTCTTCAAAATTAAATTGAACCACTATGGAGATCTCTTTCCAACAAAAAAAGAATCATGAAAATCGGTTCACAAATACCGGAGTTATCGCGTAACATACATACAAAAAAAAACACAGTCGAATTGAGAACCTCCTCCTTTTTTGAAGTCGGTTAAAAAGTACTATTCATGTACATGGGTACTATATGCGTCATGGGAATTATGCCATTTATGGAAAGCCAAAATTTTAGTCACAATAACCTAAATGGACTGACTTGGCCACTGAATGAAACCCCTGGGGGTTCATATAGACTTTTTTTATGATACTAAGTGGCAGAACGAACAAGTTGCAGATCTTTGTTTTTCGTCTTTAACAACTTTTTTGCCGCAGCGCCATCTGTGAGAAATTTATTTCTACCTTTATAGCTGCCATGTCTGACTACAGATGTTGTCATTTATAAGTTTATTTTTTACAAACTTTAAGTTTATTTTTTTACCTTTAATGTTTTTTTAAGTGTAACGGACAGTTAAACGATGTTGGAATTAAATAGTCCTTAGTTCTTTTACCATATACGTTATTTGTTTTAAAAGTTTCATAGCTGCCAATCATTTCTTGTCTTTTTGGATAATTGTAATTTTTTGGTACTTTATATTCATGGCTTGATTCTTGTAATATTTGAGAAAGCAAACATTTTTTTCAACAGGAAAATTATCTTACATATTTTAAATAACATGTTGACATTTTGCGTTCCCTTACGCACCTTCTTATCAGCTAACACCTTTAAGAAGCGTATTTGGAGTGACCTAATTTTGTTAAGATGTGTCACGTAGGTAGTACCATACGTTCCCATACAGTAATTTATCATAGATTCAACAAGACCACGATAGAGAGTATGACATCGCACGAGGAGTACAATAAGCAAGCTTGTTGAATCTGCCTAAATCTGTCACAATCTAGTACAAAGAACATCTATATGTATCGACTAACAAAATCGATCATCTACCTTAACTCCTACATAATGTATCTAATTACTACTTCGTTCTATAAATGGGCAGGTACGTGCAGTGCTACCGCGAATGCAGACACTCGAATTAGTGACCTACCAAATGCAAAGATTGAAAACCTATTGAATGACACGACGTTTACTACTATAATATTCAATTACTTTGTGTAGAATTACTCGTAGAATAATAACGCATAGAATGATAGTTTCGTATCAAACGAACTGTCACAAGTGAGGCAAAAATAAAATTCATGTAGGCTAGTTTTAGTAGTAGGTTAATTTTCGGTTTTAGTGAATATTTATATAAAAATACAAGTTGAAACGCGTTACTTCCTTGTGGAATGTGATGTTAGTATCTATTTTATGTTTGTCTGACGTGTTTTTACACTCATTTACCGCACATTTCGTCATTTTTGGCTAAAATTCTTGAGCTGTTCGCGGTGCATGTTGACCTTGAGCACCGACGGCCCGCCCGCTCGTGTAGGCCCATTGGGAGCGCTTCAATTTGCCACACTTAGCGTGTGCGGACTAGGTTTCTATGCGTTATTATTCTAAGGAATTACTCCACTAGTTTGTTTTAATTATTATAACAAAGATCAAAGCACTACGAAAAATCGTTTTTGTTTTTATTAAAAAGTTAAAAAAGTTTTTTGTATTGAATTTTCAAAAGTTTTTGATCAAATTGCTCTTACGTCAATATTGAAAACTGAATTGTTCTTTAAAATTCATATACAGTTTCAATTATCTCATATTGTTCATACGACTAGTGTTACAGTGTTACAACGGCTTGGTTATACGCTAGTAGGTTTGTTCATTCAAACAATGTTTGTTCATTAAAGTGAGCGTTGTTTACTCGTCTTTGTGGGCGTTGGCGTTCGGATACACGTCGATGATTGTTCTTGTTTGCCACACATATTGTTCCTTTTGTAATAGATGTTTATTTGTTACTTATATTTGAAACTTGGTTGGTGCTAGAACTATTATGATGCAAAGAATAGCGACTTTGATGTTCAAGCTCAATGTTTTGTTCTAAGAAGACATTTGAATAAACATAATGAATATGCAGACACGACAACAAGCACATAGAAAAATTGGTGAGGTGGTTTATGAGACGTCGGGATGAATCCGGTCCCATCGAAGGAATTTTTCTATTTGTTCGATCTTTGTATTAATAATTATAACAAACTAGTGGGGTAATTTCACAAAAAATATTTGAATATCAAAGTGGTGGTGCATCCTGACAAAAAACCGACCTCAAAAAGTTCTGCAGATCTGTGTCTTCTAAACCCGTACTGGGTCTTCGCAAGAATGTGTTGGGTTTCCAGGAAATTGAGAAGTCTGTTATTGATAGTAGTTCAAAAATTTTAGACAGAGAACAGCGAATAGGAATAGGCCTATAGTTACTAGCACAGCACCTGCCCCCTGCCTTATAAATTGGACGCATGATGTGATGGTAATAAGCTAGAGCCACACGCCTGTCCATAACAGTTACAGTGCCACTCAGAGCTTAAATCTCAATCATACTAACATAGTTCTAAGGTTTTCTTTTGTAACTAACGCCATTATCTTATGGGCTATGGCCTGAAATAAATGGTGTATTATTATAGACGTAAGTTGACAAGTCCCGTGTGTCTATAATTTCACCAGCACTCTTACCCTTAAAAACTGGAAGGCTTTAATGCTCTCATTACTGCTTGGAGGCAGAAATAGGTAAGGTTACCTAGACGAATTCATATCAAATTGAATAAACATTTGTTCCCATAGGTAAAATTCTTACACTTGAAAACGTTATTTTTTAAGCTACTGCTCGTTCACTACGCTGATTGCCCCTTTCAAATAAACTTAAATTCTATGTATATATATATGGATACACTTTGAATCATAATTGTGTGGAATCTAGAGACTTGTGTTGCTTTCCATACTGCTTTATCTAACACATACTCTTCAATTTTGTATTATGACTTTTCAATTAAAATACCTTTAATGTAAGTTTTAAACTTAGGAAATGATAATCTTATTTTATGCTCCGGAATCTTATTGTAAAAACCATTGACTTACAAATAAATGGACGACGGGTCTAATACAAAAACCACGAAAAAAATATCCCAAGTCAACCTTTCTAAACGTAGTGACATGTAAAGGAATATGAAAAAGCTAAAACGTTGAATTTAAATTGTAATGTCATCGCAGTACTGTCTAATTTTGCTTGCTTCGCTGTCAGTCGAACAAACGAAGACTAAAGCG